TAATGTATGTGACCACATAGGGCCTGATTTAAGCTCTTTTCTAGTGAGCCAGCAGAAAGATGCTGGAAAACACGAGTCTGACTCAACAAAAAGCAAGCAGGCCTAATACCACTGGGGTGAACATTCAAGTTCATTTTATTCCAAGGTATTAGCTCCTACTCCGGCAGCTCCCTTGTAGAAAAGGGTCCTGGGGTTAGAACACTATTGAAGGTGGTCTCATTCTCTTGGCTCATGGGTCAGGAAGGTAAACATTTTACGTTATTGCACAGTACCGACAAGTTACAGGCAGATAAACGCAGGATCTGGTCAACTTTTAACACACAGGTGTTTAAGGCAAATGACATTGGGAAGTAATCTCTCTCTCCTCCCCCACCCCCAAGCTGGAAATCAAATAGCTGAACACAGTGTTACATGTCTGAGTTGCTAGGAAAGCTTTCTTATTTAAAAACGGCTTCATAGACGCGTTTTCGCATCTGCCAGTTTTTGTGTTTTGTTTTGATCTCACCCCCCCCACCCCGCCCCCCTTGTGTACTAAACAGAGGCACTTTAAGAGCTAGTAATGCACTGTATTCAGGAGTGCATGACACTGGGTTTCGGCAATCTTGGTAGATGTGGCGAGGAATTAAAATGAAATCGGATTAAAAAGAAAACAAGCAAGTCACTTAATTAGAAGGTCTCGCCAAACTTGTAAAAAAACCCGATGGTCTCTGGTTGGAACATCGCCCTCACTCAGCAGGGTTCGTAACTGTCACCCCTCCTCTCCCAGAGGCGGTCGCTGTCACTTCCAAACGTTAAGGTGTAACGGTTGTCCTGTCTGGGTTTGTTTGTCTGAATTTTAAAACATGGACGCATTAAGTTCTTTGAGTTATGTCTTGAGGAATATGTCAAAGTATTGCATTATGCATAGGTTGCAAAGAGTCAGAAAACCTACAGTGCCGAGTTAAACAGGTTGGAAGAATTTAGCAAAGCGTATAAAAATGCAGTCTAAAAACAAAAACAAGATCCAAAACCGTTCCGTCCTAAGTGTGTAAAAATAAGTGGTATTCCCTCGTGGGAATCCAGGCCTGTCTTCCTCCCTCTCTTTCCTGGTGTTGGTCTCAGTTAGTTGGTAGGTATTGCACCCGCCACAACACGTTGGAAAGTAGGTCTTGGTAGAAGCTCAGGAATATCCAACCTGGCAGATACATCAGGGTGATAAGGCCCATGAAGTTGAGCGGGTAGTGCGAATAGTCCCAGGAGCAAGCCCCGCAGGCGCGGAGCGCCAGGCCCCAGGCCAACTCCCACGCGTAGATGAAGAGCACGTAGAGGGGCACGCGCTTCCAGGTGGCCCAGCCGCGGCTGTAGTGCAGGTGGAAGTAGAGCTTTTCCACCACGAAGCTGCAGCTGCCGTACATCAGGAAGGACCAGAGCGACGTGTGGCCACTGGCCGCCCCGGGCCCCTGGCCCAGCACGTTGAAGAAGAAGGTGAAGAAGATCTCATCCAGAAAGCCATGCATCCCGAAGAAGAGAAAGCGGGGTGCTCTCATAAAGATGGCAGCCTTGGATACACCT